AAGATATGGTAACCATAACGATTGCAATGGATGATATTTTACAAACTGGTACCCATCACCCCAAGAACCTACAAACGGGTAATCGGAGTTCTACAAAAGCAAATTTTCCACTCTGATGCAAAAGTATGGGATTAATCATTATTCGACATATAGTACAAAAAACGCAGCAATAGTTGAGAGAGCTATTCGATCACTAAAACACCTACTTTCCACTGAATTTTCAGTCAGCGGGAGCTACCGGTAGATCAATATCTTAGCAGATGTTACTGATTTTTATAACAACAGGAAGAAGAAGACGTGGAAGGTTGTCCAATAAAAGGCTGTTTCTACAAGAAGGAACTAAGAAAAACAAAATTTCCAAATGAGTACTTGATTGAAAAGGTAATTAGGAGAAAGGGCAACAAGCTTTTAGTTAAATAGTTGGGGTTTCCACAATTTAAAAACTCTTGGATAGATATCAATGATGTATTGTAGTATTTGTTTTTTGGACTCTCAGTTTTATGTTTTGTGTTATATTTACGTCGTTGCTGTATGTTAGAAATGGTTGTATCAATAAAAATACAAATTCTTTAAATCTTGTTTTAATAAACTAACCTAGACACATTGATTTTTACATTCATTCAAAACCCCTGAACTTACCGACTTCACTCACCCTCCACTATTATATTTCGTTTCAGATTACGTCTATTCAGACACCTGTTTACCTGTCCACAATTGCAATATCCAAAAGTTACATGCTTCTACGTATCCTTATTGGTTAGCACGCATACAAGAGGTTAGGCTCGCCTCTCTCGGTATGTAATTTTGATCACTCGTGAGAGCAGTCAGCGTTCAGCTTGGAAGTTTTCATGTATACTCGTATTTACTAATGATAAAACGCCTCTAGCCTACCGATTGATCGTTCTCCTGTTTGATAAAACCCCCCCTTTATGTGTGTGTATGTGTGTGTGTGTTTGTGTCAGGACTCCACATAAATTCAGTCGCGCCTGCTACGTTACACTAGTTAAGTCTGTTAGTACCAACATATTTTATCGCCATAATCAATATCGCCATGGAAGTAGTCGCGAATAATCAAGATGACATTGCAGTCCTCCTTAATAATTTGGATGCAATTATAGCTGACCTGGAAGGTAACGGAATTCAACTGACTCAGATGACAACTGACATAGAACTCCAGGAGTTCATTCAAATTAGAGCTGCTGAAGCTGCCGTGGTAGAAAATACAACGGATAACCCTACAACAACGCTTCCAGCAGTGAAGGCTCACATGACGCCTTCAAAATTAAAGTTAAACCAGATGAAGCACATAACTGAAAGAACAAAGAAAACCACCACCAAGCAGCCGAACAGTCAAACTGTTATAAATGCTTTCAAAGAAAGTTTATTGCTAATGAAATCGGACATCCAAACTACCGAGCCACAATTGGCAGTGGAAATGGATAAGAGCCAAAAAAAAGATCTTCTTGATCAAGACGAGGAACTTCTAAGACCGTTAGACGATGACAGGAAACGCGTACGTGAACAGAAAAGTAGGAGGAAACAGCAAATCGACGATGCGATGAAAAGGGTTGACAACTTGAAAGAAATAGCACAACGGAAGAGGGGCAAGCTTTCAGAAGAAGAAGAAACACTTTTATTTGATTTTTGAAAATGTACATATAAAATATGTATAATGTAATAAACCTTAAAATTAATTTTTAATTTAATTTTTTTCCATCAAGTATAATACGTGTATTATAACTCTCAAGAAAAAAATAGATTAGGTCTGGTCAAGTAGAGGTGTGTTTGTAATTTTCGAAATACTTATTATTCCTGAAATTAATACGTATTTTCTCCAGGACTGTTTTTCCAAATCCGGCAGACCTATCAACATTTATTGACCATTTGTTACCCATACTTTCCTTGACTATATATTCTGACTCAGTCATTTCTACTGATAAGACCTTTTTTTTTTTAAATTTGAAGATATGTGTCCAAAAAATTACAAACATATATGTTATATATTATACAAAAATAATAAAAATGACAATCAATACATACAATACTAGGTCTAATAATCAAATACACATAAGTATACAAAAAAAACTAAATCTATCATTTCTATCCGTGAGACCTTCAATCGTACCATGTGTCAATTAAATCCCATAAAATAATATATGGGGTGACAGCTGGGGGTGCCAGCTGCAGGACGTATACGGTTCTCATATTTCTAACCAAGAAGTACAACAAAAAAAATGTTAAATTCTAACCGTGAAATGCTAAATATCATTTATAGAATGCGAATACTGTATCGTGCGTCAATTAATCTCCATATAATATAATGGGTGAGAGCTGGGGGTGCTACCTGCAGGAAATGTATTTCTAACCTAGATACACCATAAAAGAAGTCTCAAATCCTGACCGTGAGACCTTCGCTACTAGCACAGGTGACATTGCATAGATTTGTGGCAAAAATCCCAAACATTCTTTGTTGAAAGTTGTCTGAAAACACAATACAGTGCCTTTTTTAAACCCTTATAATATATAGCATGATAGCTTGGGGTACCACCTGCTACATATAGGAGCAGGTGCATACATGGAAATACTAAACACTATTATAGATAGTTTTCTGGGAATACTGTACCGTAATAAAAAAGTCCCTTCCTTCACCAGCCATTTCTATTTTGTCTGGTGTGGATGTTGTCGAATATTCGGACGCATATTATGAGAAGAATTCCTGAACGTACAATCGAGCTTGCCCTGCCATGCTATATATATATATATATATATATATACTGTATATATCAGAGCAGAGTGACTTTCTGTCACAGGCATTGTATGGGGCAAGGCTCACCCCATTCAGGTGGTTGACAATTCTCAATTCGAATTTATAGCAGCTATCATTTGTACGTTGTGTATCTTTAGCTGAACAATGATATCGAGCACATATTCATATTCTTGATGAGCTTTCAAGAAGAATCTATTGTTATCTTTAATGTGGAATTTGAAAATTTCCAGAAGGTTGCAGACATCTGTCGGAAACTTAACATTGCTTTGATCGCCTTCACTCAGTTTATGGAAAATTTTTATGGTATTGCAATATAATATATTCATGTATTTATCATGCTTTGATGTTCTTCAATGAAATGACAACAACTCAATATGTCAGGTATTTATTTAATAATTATTTATTTAATACTCCTATAGTAAACTGAATAGATAGTGTTCAATCCTCATACGCGAGGTTGTATTTGAGGATAATTTCCGGAGGTAAATAGTTTGCAATTTCACACAGAAATGATCTAAGGTTATAATTAATCATATCACTACAAAACAGCTCAATAGTACAATCTTCTTGTATGTTAGATACTGCGTGCACAACTTGAGCTCTTCCTCGTATTTCCGAATTAGTCTCCTGATTCTTTCAACCTCGTTATCATCCCAACAAATATGCATATCGTTGTTTGTTGAATGTTCAGCGTCAAGCATCAAATCAGTTAACTGGCACACTAATCTCATGATAGCTATACGTAGATCCTTTGAATCAGGCCAACGCAATGATGCATAATGCATCCATATCTTGTCAAACCAGGGGTGGGTGTACTGCTTCTGAAAAGGTAAATATAGTGGTCAATATCAAGTGGAACATGATATTTGTGAAAACAACTTTACCTGCTGCATTTTCCTAACCCAGTTCTGTCCTGAACCTTTATATTATTTATACCCAACATATTAGCCTATACTACCTCATATTTTTAAACTAATTACTACTGTCAACAACGACAAATTTTATCAAATATTTTGAAGGACTACCTAGTGTCTTTGGTGAGCTTTGGTCAATATACGCTAAAGAATATATGTTTTGGGAATCATTTATATCTTTAATCATGTTTTCCAACACTCTTTTGGGTAGCCAAACCGCAAACTGGTCTGAATCAGAATGAAGAAGTGTAGCTACTAGACATTGTCCAAACTTTGTTTGAATACTTGAAGTATTCTTAATAGAATAAGGTTTGTTTACAGTTTATGATGATAATGTTCTAGATGATATATTGTTGTCAGATTCGCAATTTATTTTTTTGCTTATTTCATGCAAGGCTGACGTAGTGATAGACATTATTAAAAAATATATATAGTGTTGGATAAATAATATAAAAGGATGCTCACCAAATTCTATTTGTTAGGTACTTCAAGAATATTATTTGGTCACTACTCGATGTTAAATGACTGAATGTGAATGATCATAGCTGTTGTTGTTTCACCATTTATATAATAACTAGCAGAGTTAGATTACGTTACAGCACCGGCGCATACAAGGCATTTGAACAACCCCGATAAATTTCTGGTAGTCCACAAAAAATATACAGACATTTCTATTATACAGCACCGAACTGCTAAGAGGCTTTACATTCGGTATGGCCATTGAGAGGACAACAATGCCTTAACCACACCTTCCATCGACTCATTTCTATTATACAACACGTTTTCGATGGTAAGAGGATGGTCATTGAGAGGAAACCACCCCTCCATCCCCCATCGGAAGATTTTGAAATGGCAGCCTTACTCTACTTTAGTTTAAATAATTGAGGTAAACTATGCTTGAAAGATGTCAGTCCATTCTACTTTAAAAATATGCTGAAGTAAGAGAAAAGTTCGACATCGAAGATTGCATATTGTATATCGTCGGAGGTATTGCCATGTTACCATCAAATTATTCCAATAATATTCGCGTTCTATCCCCAATCAGAGTAGTCGGAGTTGAATTCTGTATCATCATGTATTTGGGTGAGACTGCATTTTCGACATATGTTTATAGTAAAAAATCAAGTTATATCTGATGTTCGTTTTCCTCCACAAAAAAATATAATTCCGTTTCAAATCACTTTGTTTGATCAGCCACCGCCTGTCCTGCTTTAATATGCATATGTGGGAACTCACAATACCCTCAATCTTCATAAATTCTTAATGTAGAGCCTAAAAACGCTCTTCTCAGACTGTCTAACCTCTCAATTTGATTTTAGCAGCAACGAATTGGCGATATTCAGTTCGATCCCGCTGGTAATACTGTTGGTATTCATCCCGGCGTTGGTGTACATGGACAACGTGAAAGGGAGCAGGGTAAGCTTTATTCTGCAACTTTTGTCCTAAACATCCATCTGTTCTTGTTTGTTTGCTTATTTTTAGAACGCCATCGACCTGAAATTGTTCTCCGTATCAGCGTTCATTCACAGGAACCGAAATGTTGCCCAGGTGTTTTCGCTCATCATGGCCGTGTCAGTCTACTTGCTTGCCATGCTACAAACGGTGAGTTATTGTACACAATGTTATCACGAATACTGAACCGAAATAGACAAAACACTAATAGTATAATAACCAGACAATTGAAGGCAGGTGGAGCACGCCGGGGCTCGATAGTAGTGACTGCCTTGAGTAACTATTTTCAATAGTAAACTGCGGATCTCCTTTGGCTGATGCGCTAAAGAAGCTCTGATTCGGAGAGATTGATGATGCCACTAAAAGAGTTCAAACGTGAAATATCGTATATTCGGCCAATGAACCAACAGTTCGTAGTCTGTAAAGGATCAGCATCCATAAGGGAGTCTGTCGGCCACGATTATAACAAAAATTCTAAGCTTATCGTATCTTTGAAATTTTAACATTTGACATGTTTTTCATTCTATTACTTGATTGTTTTTTAAAAGTCCAACGTTCGCGATTTAAGAATTTTTGTCCATATCTTGCCCATTTACATCGACCTGCTACGCAACTCACGTATATAAATCTCGAAATGTTGATCGTCCAATAACGGTGCCTAATCTAAAGTTTTTAAGGTACATCTGCAGTTTTGAGCCTTAGTCTACCGTTCTACTGTAAAACGCTCATTCCTACCATTTCCTTATCGCGCTAGTTTCGATCATACCATTTAATCAATATATTTTTTATGAAAAAGGAGCATAGAAAACAAATGCAAAATTTAGCCACCGATGTGTATAACAAAAAATTATATTTCTTCCTCCCCCTGAGAGGAATTGCTGCAGGTGCGCATGATCGTTGCGATGATCAATCTCGCGTGAATAACGAATATTGACCTTCACCATGCCCAGTACACGCAGGCCACAGTAGTGTGGAAGCGACTGCCGATTGTGATGTGACGTACCCCACTGACCACGATGCTGGTCCATCGGGGATGACGTCGCATGTATCGACGGAGATATTTCAGGTTTTAATTGAAAATTTACTGGGATAGTATGCCTAATATGTACATAGAAACACTGGAGTTAGGGAAGTATAAATATAACAAAGCAAAAACAATTGAGATATACCCTAACCCACCTCTGCAACCCCTAACCCCCAGTTTTTAACTCCTACAAAAATGTTCCGAAAATAATCAGGATCGTTCGGAACGTCAAATTACACAGCTTTTGCGTTCTCGGCATAGTCGTAACATTGTGCAAAAATTCAATCTAAATCCGAACGGTACTTCTCAAGTTATAGGCCGTTAAGATTAGCAGTCAGACCGGCCGACAGACAGACAGACGGACCGACAGAAAAGAGTAACATGGTTTTTCGTGATGTACATGTCATATAACATCCAAAAAACATATCTCATTTTAGAGAATCTCAGCGATTACTTACTTTTCCGCCAGTATTCATGGGAAGTAAAAACATTAAATGCAAAATCTCTGATCGGGCGATCGAAGCATTTCCAGCCACAGTGACATAACGCATTTAGCCAATATATCGCGGTGCAGCGGTCTCTTAGACTGAATCGCAGTATCCGTGTAATAGCTTGAATAGTTCGCAACATTTGAGCAACTATCAAATCTGACTGCCAAGTGAAAATTGGTGTTAAACTGACAAATCTTTCACATGGAGACAGCTATTCTGCAGTAGATGACATAATTTAGTTTAATATCAAAAGAGAATTGTCAGTTCAAAGTTCAAATGTTTACAACTTCATACCTTTCCATCTTCTTTAATCCAGGTATTTCATCTATTTGTAGTAATATATACTAAGTTTTATATAAAATGCAACACCTAGAATTATTTATTGAATTTTGATAAAAACTTGTTACCATATTTGCTATCATGGACGTATACACTGATAAAATGCTGAAGGCATTCCGAACAATACTTTTTTGTAAAAGCTTTTTTGTTATATCAGGATCCGAACAATATGAACATGTTTACTTAATATCCAGTGATTTTTCTGTGTTGGTTCCATTTGTTTCTTTGTTGTTTCATTGCATTATCATGCCTAGAATTCGCAGACCCGCTAATTTCACTCGCTTTTTCGATTTTGAAGGGGGTCGGATAATCGGGTTACGTGAAGCCGGACTTTCTTTTAGAGAAATCGCTAATTGGGTGAATCGAAACGAAGCTACTGTAATAAAATGTCGAGCGTGGTTCCAAGAAGGCCAAAATGGACGAGATGGAGGTACTGGACGTCAAAAACAGACTACAGAGCGACAGGATCGTTATTTGAGGCAAGTAGCACTTGGAGATCGATTTTCCAAAACAAGGGCAGTTGAGAACCGGTTGTTTGGTGCTGGAAGGACAATAACAGTCAGGACAGTTTATTTTCGAATAAGGCCTTTTGGACTGTTTTCAAAGCGTCCCCATCTTGTACTACCGCTGACAGTACCGCACCTTCGGCAACGATTGGTATGGAGTAGGGAGAGACTTGAATGGAATATGGAATGTAACTTATTCGTGTTCAGCGACGAGTCCAGATTCTGTGCAAGAGTAAGGAGGAGACGTGGTGAAAGACAATATTTCATCGAACGGCATATTCATCGCACTGTGGGTGTCATGGTATGGGGTGTCACTGCTTACTGCAGCAGGTCACGATTAGTGTTCATTCGAGACCGCCCATCCAATTTTTACAACCACACCTGCTTCTCTTTTTGGAGACATTGCAAGATCAGCAGGACAATGCACGACCTCATGTCGCACGTGTTAGCTTAGACTTTTTAGAAGCGTCCGGAGTAAATCTGCTGCAGTGGCCTCCTCCAAATTCTGTCAGCTGTTGATTTTTAGCAAACAAATGTATTATTCCTAGGTTTCAAACGTTGAAGTCCTTCTTTAGAGAGGCGTATTCAAGTTTAAATCCGGTTCTAATCGATAGGGCATAGCCAGGACGCCAATCTTGTCAAGTTCAGCCCGAATATACTTCTTTATCGCAGCAGCTGTGGTTAAGAAGCTGGGATATCTGTTTAGAGCAATCAAATACTGTTTTGCTTCTCTCTTCCTCTATTTACACAAGGCTTAGATAAGACTGCGCTGGAATACTGTTCACAAGTGTGGTGATTCTACGCTGTTCACACTTGATGAGCCAGTATAGAAAAAATAATCTATGATATGGTATTTTTCCAGCTGTCCATTCCAAGGCCAAGAGACTGTCCCAACCTCACACTGCTGGACGTGAATTGCACGACTTACCCATTTGCAACATATCCACTAGAAGAAAAGGGCTGTAAGCATTACTATTTAGCGGATGTAAGTTTTTAGTTTTTGTTATAGTATAGAAATTGGAGTGACCATTTTATCAATAGTGTTTGCATATTTGCTGAAAGTGAACCACATTCTGAGCTTTTATTTGATTGACAAAAATTGTGACTCGCTCCATTTTATTTCGCTTATCGTATCAGAATATTTCCACTGTAGAAAGAACGTAACTTCCCATAATCGTAGATACTAAAATGTCCCATTATCAAGGAACGGGGTATTGAAAATTCCTACGCCACTGATAAGACTCACTAAGAACAAGACATTAATGTTTTTCAAATAACTCATCGTGAGGTGGGATTACTTCCTCAATATATACAATGTTTAAGTCCAACTTCAGTAACTTCAGTATATCTTCATCGTATAATAGTTTTTTGTAGGTATTATACGAGTAGGTATCTCAAAAATTCAAGCCGATTTGCCAAAAATGGCTCAACTAAACTTTCCCAATAGATACAACTTATCTAAAATAAAATTAAATGTTTTAGAAAGTCAGTAGCGTAGAAAATATTCTTCTATTACCTTCTATAAGTATCAAAATGTTCCACGTTATTCTTGTTTGTATTATTTATGCTAAGAACTGCATGCACAAAATTTTAAGTTTATAACTTGACCCACCGGAGATACAATTTTATCACGATTTTGAAAGTGTACCAACACCGGCAATGGCGCATATTAGAGCCAATGCTTATACGTATAAACTTTACATGTTACGTTTGGACCAACTTTTTGTCCTAGAAATATTTCCATTATTTTTAATCACTCTGTTTACATATATGAACTAGTTTAGGTAACTATGTAGGCTGTATTTTCTGCTAATACATTTGATCTTTTTTATAATACTTTTCTGTGTCAGGGGAACGAAGTTTCTTTGGTTACTTTGGGCAATATATCATGCTTGAAGATACTATTATCTTCAATATAGTTTGCTTGTTTTTTTTTGGTGGCAGGTAGCTATACTAATAGTTATAAGTCAGAATGCAGCAAGTACAAAAAATGCTAAAATGAGATAGTGTCTTTAATGAAGAAATTTGTTTAAAGACTAACAAGTTAACATAAATTACAACTCAATGCTTAACTAAACTATACTACCAGACGCAACTTTCTTCGAATGTCTCTCATGAGGTCCTGGACGGAATTCATATCAATTTCTCTCAGTTTTTCGTAAATTCGCCGTCTTAGTTGTTCTTCCCAGCCTCCATGATAAACATGATAAACCTGCCTAGACAGTAAAGCCCAAAAATCCTCTTTTGGGCGAGCCTGTGGCAAAATTTAAGTATTATCGTTTTTTGAGAACAAAAGGGATGTTGTGTTGTCGAAGCCAGTTTTGGGTATCTTTTGATTAATGGTATGACGCTAGGTCTGGCCAAAACATGATATGGTTACTAGCATGATGTTCGTGGACAAACTGAAGCAATTTGGAAAGGCAGTTATAAACATAGCTCTAACTGTTCAAAACTTCTCCCCTCACTCTTCCAACAGAAGGTTAGTATACACCCCTGTTAGGAATTGCGCACTAGACAAGGATTTTATCTGCAAATTTCGCTTTATGTTTGTATCTAGAGGGCATTCCTCTATGTTGTTTGTATAATAATCCGTCGTTTCCCTTCATTTCAGAATTACTCAAAGTGAAATACTTTTCTTCATCTGAAATAATGATTTAACCATTGGCAAAATGTACTCTCCTCAATTGACGACAGCATCTTGGTATACAAAAGAGTTGTGCTTGAGAGTATGTGGGGCATTCAAGTCTCTTTCGATATTTAAGACCTCCTCAATTCCAACGATATGGTACTTTTAGAAGATCTGTATTGATGAGCCAGTCTCCTTGTTGACATTTCTACCTGATCCAATTTATTCAATCAGACCTTTTTTTGTAAAAACTGTAGTTACTGAAGGTTGGTGGTTGAGTATTCACATATTGAGTAAATTCGCATTGACATATCCTCTCAAATTTATATACACACGTTTATTATATATTGGCTTGGTGGTACACATCCAAATGCTTTGTGATTCAGTGAAGTAGGAGAGAAGACCGCTGGCTGATTTTGGATATTTTTCCTGTTAGTTTCAAAATCGATTCCATAGGATAGGCCGAAAGTGAGTCAACTGGATATCTTCGAGAAACTGTCTACGCATACCCAGCCTATCCTATCGAACCGTTTCTGATTCCAATGAGAAAATAAATACAGATCTGAACTCATTCAAAGCTTACAAACTCATTCTACCCAAAAACAACCAGACATCCCTTGTTCAAGAAATTAACACCATCTCTATGGTCAAACTGTCTGCGATGTGTAAGCGCCAATATTTGCTGTGGGAGTTAAATGAAACAGCAGATTAGGTAAGTCTGAATTTTGCGTTCATGTAATTGTAAATAAAGACGTTATTATTTGTAATAATAACCTTGTGTATGTAAATTTGAGAAACCTCCTCACTTGAAACTCAATATGTGGATACGCAACCGTTAACCTTAAGCACTAATATAGTCTTACATAGTAAGTTATAAAATTAAAAGACCATAAAGTTTCAAGCGTTGTGCTGTAAAATGAACAAAATCAGTATCTTCAGCTCATACAATACCGTCTGCCTAAATAACAAAAGTGGATTATTAGAATGAAATCTCCGTTCCTCTAGCGCCGTTCTGAATAAAATGGTGTAACCAGTCCGAACCTTTAATTCTTTTTCTGATTATATTGTAGTGGATTTGCTAGCATAAACTGAGCACGCTCGCCAAGTTACAGAAAAATCTATCAAACTCCTTGCATCTCGATTATAACAGGTTAAAGACTCATAAGGGAGTATATAAGGTATCCAATAAAGTCAGACACTTATAATTTCTGGTCGAAATCGTCTGAGCAGGCGCAGTTAAACGAAAATAAGACTTGGACTTAATAAAGTTAGTGCCTGTCAATATTACAGGACGCTTAAAATCATGGCACAGCCTGCCTTTTTGTGCGAATAATCTTACTTTTTATAGTAGTTTTCGCAAATAAAAGAAATTTTACTTCGATGGCCCCGTCCTCAAGATCACACTGTAGTTTATGTTTGTTGCTAGGTCGTGGTGTACCTGCCCGGCTAAGTTTTGCATTGTGTAGATCATTATGTTTCTTTACGCTCAACCATGCGCGTGCGTTTACGAAACGTTGTCTCAGGTGTGACAACAAATGCAGAAGTCTAATAAAAGGAAAATTAGTGCAGTTAAAGACAAAGTTCGTCGCAAGATTCGGAAACTGGAGGATTTTATAGAAGGATTTGATGGTAGCTCAAGTAAGTCCGGTTTCTCTCTTTAACAACCCAATGCATTTCGTTCCCCGCAAGAGGTCAAAAATTTGGCCTTTACGCCACAGCTTACAGAATATAACATTTAAATGTTACTTTAGGCTAATACATAGTAAAACTTTCATATTATGTAAGTACGAATATTTATCAGGGAAGGAAACGCAAACATGAGTAATGTCTGTTCGCCGTTCAAACTTCGCAATTAATAAATTTATTTGAAAACTTTGCCAAACAACTGATATGACGAAAAGGCATGTATACCTGAGTAATATCTGGTTACAGTCTTTACATCTCCTAATACTATATGTGTGGCGTAAGCTTAACTTGCACATACACATTTCAGATAGCTCCAAAAAAGGGGGTAAATATGACTAATCTCTATTTACCACCCATCACAACTCTGCAAATTTTATATTTTGCATAAATCACCAAAATTATTACCAACGCAACATTTCCTTCAGGTGAAAGCGATTCCGACTCGACTTCGGAAAACTCCACCTCAGGAAGGTCAACACCTTCACAAGCGAACGACATAATTCAAGAACTGCAGAACATCCAAGTACCACCCATCCCCATCGAAGAACAACAACAAGCCACAGATAATGATTTCCTGGAATCTCTGTTAGGAGCACATCCCTCTAATACTTCAACAGACGGTCCAGAAATATCCGCTGATCTGACTTCTCGCTGGGAGTCTTACTTAACAACCGCCTTGGACAAAGAAAGCCGAAAGAAACTGCTAGAATAGTGGAATCCCCTTCACACTGCAAACTCTTAAATGGGCCGGGACTGAATGCCGAAGTGAAAACATTATTGTCTGTCACAGATAAAAAACAATTTCCAGTAAAACTTGTAAAACATAATTGGAAAAGCTAACACTGCTGAAGGAATGGCACTAACAAAAATTCTAGAGAAAAGGAACAATATTGATAACACATTATCCCAAAATCTAGTTGATTTAGCTAAACTTTTTAGCCATGCTTTTTACACCATTTTCAGACATCGAAAATATCAAATAACCAGATATTTCAACGAGTCCGTTCAGAAAATTGCGTCGAATCAAAAGCCTGATGCTTTTCTATTTGGAAATGACTTTTCTGAAAAATGCAAATCCGCAAAATCTATGGAATCAACTGCTCACGAACTTTTAAAGCAGCCATCTCGGCCATCGACCAGTCGTCCTTTAACCTCCTAGCGCATGAACTTCAAGAACGAAATGAAAAACATCGGGGGTGAAGAAAAAGAGAGAGGGGGGCGGCGGCCCAAAATGTTCAGCTACCCTTATTACAAGCACAGCCGACAACAAAAGTCCCCGCCGAGAGACCAGAAGACGCGGGAACCCAAGTATCAGAGCCATCGATATTGGTGGTAGGATATGCAAGCCGTATAAGCTTATTTTATCGTAATTGGGAACTAATCACTCAAGATCAAAATATCTCACATTGGGAAAAGGTTTATAAAATACCCTTCATAACAAAACCCTTTCAAAAGGGCAAACGCAAAATACAGTTTTCCGCGGATTTTGAAAGAAGCGTATCCGACCTCGGAAAAGCGGAGCCATTGTCAAAACCAAGTACTTCTTACGGAAAAGACAAATGGTAAATACAGGTCTATCTTGAACCTCAAACAACTTAATAAATGTAAACGTTGCCCTCATTTTAAAAAGGAAGATTTCCGCTCAGTGAAATATATCATATGTATATTTAAACTGCTATTTGGGAACCTTGGACCTGAAACGGTCCATCAGAGCAGTAGAAAATATTTAAAGTTTAAATACCGACAATACATCTATGAATTCACCTGTTTGCCATTTGTCTTATCCACTGCTCCTTTTGTTTTCACTAAAATATTAGAACCCGTTTTAAGCCATCTAAGATCACTGAGATTCACTTCAGTCATTTATTTAGATGACATGATTCTACTTGGCAACACTCAAGAGGAATGTAATTTTAATATTAAGTACACCACAAAATTGCTTACGTCTTTAGGCATTATAATAAACAACGAGAAAAACCAAACTCTCGCCAAGCGGTATAGGCAGCAGCGGTGGCCGCAGTAGTAGACTCTTCGGTCTCCTGATCAGTCGCCGTGCGCTGTGCGGGTTCGAGTCCCGTCCCAGGAGAAATTTTTCTCTTGGCTATGGATGTTGTGATTGTCCGTAGGTGGTAGATGGTCTCTGACTGTCGAACGCGGAGGTACCACCCGGCGGTTCTCGTAGGCGGAGCCAGAATGTGTGCATGTTGCATGCACACGTGTTCCCTCGCCAGAGTCCGTGTGGCGTCCCCCCTTTCCCATGCATCCCGCATCCCCCTATAGCCCCACGGTACCCAATGGGTGCTTAGGCCTTAGGCCTTCGTGGTAGTTGGAGTATAAAAAAAAAAAAAAACAACACATCAAAATCTTATGCCGGGTCCACACCAAAGCAACAAAACAAAATCAAGGAATAAAACAGAAACGCAACAAATGAGCAACGTTTTGGAAACAAAACAAAACGAAAACTTATGTCCAAGAGACATAAAAGTTTTCAGTTGTTTTGTTTCGTGCAGTTCACACCAAAAATTTTCAGAGTGAAAGTATGTGGCGTTTTTATGCTGAAAGGCAAAAGCGCAAACATTTTATCATAATGCCTGCTGGTTATGTGTTTCTCCAGAGTGGTGACCGACACGGGTATCACGTATCTCGAAAAGTGACATTACACGGATTTTTTTTGACATTATGCTGTTTTTTTTACATTATGTAGGTTTTTCTACAAGATGTTAACCTAGCACTTAGTTGTACGTGTTGCGTAAACATCATGAGGCTTTAGTTATCAATGTTTGGTTCTGATTTTATGTAAAATCTGCTGAGAGATGGGATTACTGGAGGTCTAAGCTGCAAGTTGGATGTGTTGATGATAATTCCATTGGATTCTTGTCCCAAATACACTTAATTGAGATTCAAAGCTATAAATTAGTTGCGCATCCACTTTTTCCTATCCATTCTGGAAATTATATATACAAATTTGCTGAATTTAAAAAATGAGAGAGATAAGAAATAATTATATTCACTGTACACTATCGAATTACAATCCATATACATGCTAACAGTAATTACACACAACGCGGGCGAGGTGATTTCCCGTAATCCTACTCAGTTTTTCATAATTTATAACTTTGAACATAACCTCTTTTCAGAAAGCACAACATATAGATAACCCGTCATATTCAACATATTCAGTAGTGATTTTCTCACACAGCAAATATCACTGATTTTATACACTTGCAGACCAATAGATACACATAATCATCCAGATGCGATCTTGCTATTCAACCAACTTCCTTCTCATAGATAAAAACTACAGACACGGGTCACTCAGCCTCACAAAGCTATGCAACCAATAATGCGTGTAGTTTAGTTGAGTGATTCCTCCATAGATAGGCGTTCACAACGATCCTAGTGAGCAGACGTGGAATGACTGTTTGCGCCCTAAAAACTGCCTAGTCTACAAGTTGACATCATATAGGTTTTTTTGACGTTTTGTAGGTTTTTTACATGATACCCGTGCAGGAAAATAAAAACGCGCAAATAATTTATCATAATGCCTGCTGGTTAGGTGTTTCTCCAGAGTTGTGACCGGCACGGGTATCACGTATCTTGAAAAGTGACATTATGCCGACTTTTTTGATATTATGCTGTTTGTTTTTTTTTGACATTATGTAGGTTTTCTTACAAGATGTTAACCTAGCACTTAGATGTACGTGTTGCCTAAACGTCATGCGGCTTTAGTTATCCATGATTGGCTCTGATTTTATGTAAAATCTGCTGAGAGATGGCATTACTGGAGGTCTAAGCTGTAAGTTGTATGTGTTGATGATAATTCCATTGAATTCTTGTCTCAAATACACTTTATTGAGATTCAAAGCTAGAAATTAATTGCGCAGCCACTTTTTCTTATACATTCTGGAAATTACATATACAAATTTGCTTAATTTCAAAAATGAGAGATATCAGAAATAATTATATTCACTGTATACTGTCAAAGTACAAGCCATATACATACGTGCTAACAGTAATTACACACAACGCGGGCGTGGTGATGATTTCCCGTAATTCTCCTCAGTTTTTCGTAATTTATAACTTTGAATATTACCTTTTTTTATATATATCGAAGCAGCCGCGCAGGCAGAAGCCTAAAAGCCGGAACACCGCGGCTGCTGTGATGATCCCAAAGAAATTTTAATACGATTTTATAACTGCCTAAGATTAGTAGAACTGGGAAAAACTTCCTCTCGTAGATTTTTCCACAATCTCGATACCCTCGAGACAAAGGAGCCGTCATATCGGTCAGTTCTGGATGTACCAAGTTCGACAAGGTTAGGATGGGACGCCAAAGTCAGGCGGGTCTGTCTGGCAGGCACATCGCGCGGCGGCATCATGGGAGAGAGCTCTGAGTAGCAAATCCTGTTGGTGTAGCGATAGAAAAGAGCTAGATCACCGACGACCCGCCGGTGCGAAAGAGTCCCGAGAATGTCTGTAAGAGAAGAGTCATCGATCATTCGGACCACCCTCCTCTGGATAGCATCGAGCATGGATAATGTATTCGGGGCAGCAGCACCCCAAACGGGTCCTCAGTGATCTGGACTCCGACCAGCCGAAATGAATGGCTCTTTGGCAGAAGTCGGCCGTCCATCGAAACTGGATGAGCGCTAGGACGCTTTTTGTTCGTCAAATTACAGTACTGTGTTTTGGAAGCATTGAACTGTACAAGATTGTTGCGTCCTCAAGCAGTGATAGCCTCCAGGTCTCTTGTCGGAGAGGAAGTCGTCGCTAGTCCCCTTTGCTTCAGCTCAGCGGCAGAGATCGGCTTGTCACTCTGAATTCCTGCATGTAGAGTGCTGTCATCCACGAAGCTGCGGATTGGGTTGATCGTGCAGGAAAGGAGGTCGTTGATATGTAAGAGAAACAGTGTTGGAGCCAAGACCGATCCCTGGGGAACACCCGCGTTGACATTGTGGGATGAAGAGGAGGACCCGTCAATTATGACGGATATCTTGCGACCAGAGATAAAGTCGGCCACCCATCTGCAAAGCTTTTCTGGGAGGCCATAGGATGGAAGTTTGTTTAAGAGGGCCGCGTGCCACATCTAACTGAACGCTTTCGTGATGTCAAGAGCAACGACGTGAGCCTCACCATAAGACTGAACGAGTTTACTCCACAATTGCGTGACGTAAGCTAAGAGCTTCCCTGTGGATCGTTGGTGTCGGAAACCATACTGCCTGTCGCTAATCAAGCTGTGACGTTCGAGGTAGTCCAGAAGCTCGCGATTTATGCACCTCTCCATCACCTTCAAGACAATGGCAGGAATCAAGTCCGGACCAGAAGCTTTGTTGATGTCGCAAAAGCACTCGTCTTACGGTCTTATGCCTGAATGTTACCTCCCGCATAGAGTATGGAACTCCTTTGAATTGACGGCACTTGTGCATTGGGGGGGACGTCCATGGAGTTGGCAGCAAAGATCTTGGCTAGCACTTCCGCCTTGGCCTTTGAGTCGGATACAATAGTTCCATCCTGGCACGTAAGTGGTGGAAGGCTACTGTGTGAGAAGTTCTTTTCAATCTGCTTGGCCAGCGTCCAGAAAGACCGACTGCCATTTCGCTGCGACATTACCCATTACTTTTATATCGTGTTGGTTTTTGGCATTGCATTGACCGAAACCTAACCTCCAAAACACCGTGGTCTGAGTTACCCAGGGGGGACAGGACAGCAGTGCTGTAAGGGACAGGATGCGTGGTCAGAAACAGATCCAGCAGGCTACTGGCGTGCGACGAGACGCGGGGAAAAAAAGAGATAAGAGATAAAAACTACAGACACGGATCACTCAGCCTCACAAAACTATGCAGGGGTATCATGTAAAAAAACTACAAAACGTCAAAAAAACCTATAAGATTTCAACTTGAAGACTAGGTAGTTTTTAGGGCGCAAACAGTCATTCCAAGTTTGCTCACTAGGATCGTTGTGAACGTCCATCTATGGAGGAATCACTCAACTAAACTACGCATTATTGGTTGCATAGTTTTGTGAGGCTGAGTGATCCGGGTCTGTAGCTTTTATCTCTGAGAAGAAAGTTGGTTGAATAGCAAGACCGCAACTGGATGATTATGTGTATTGGTCTGCATGTGTATAAAATCAGTGATATTTACTGTGTGAGAAAATTATTACTCAATATGCCGAATATGACGGGTTATTTATATGTTGTGCTTTCTGAAGAGAGGTTATGTTCAAAGTTATCATTTACGAAAAACTGAGTAGGATTACGGGAAATCACCTCGCCCGCGTTGTGTGTAATTACTGTTAGCATGTATATGGATTGTAATTCGATAGTGTACAGTGAATATAATTATTTCTTATCTCTCTCATTTTTTAAATTCAGCAAATTTGTATATATAATTTCCAGAATGGATAGGAAAAAGTGGATGCGCAACTAATTTATAGCTTTGAATCTCAATTAAGTGTATTCAATGGAATTATCATCAACACATACAACTTACAGCTTAGACCTCCAGTAATGCCATCTCTCAGCAGATTTTACATAAAATCAGAGCCAATCATGGATAACTAAAGCCTCATGACGTTTAGGCAACACGTATAACTAAGTGCTAAGTTAACGTTTTGTAGAATAACCTACATAATGTCAAAAAATACAGCATAATATAAAAAAAAAATCGGCATAATGTCACTTTTTCAGGTTACGTGATATCGCTGCCGCCGTACGGGAAAAGAAAAAACGTTTTTGGGTGTAACCATCCTTACGTGAAAGAGATGGTCCTGGTATTAAAAAATCATTGTCCGATTTACGTAAAGATAATATTATGAGGAGAAATGCGTTCTAGTTTCGAGAACTTTTTAAGAATGTCCAGTGAAAACTTTGAAGAATTAATTCAGCTGATCGGTCCTGAAATTTATAAAAAATACCAATTTCAGAAATGCAATTAACGTGGTTTGGCCGTAACACTAAGATTTTTGGCGTCCGGAAACTCTTATCATAGCTTGATGTATCAATCAAAGATATCAAAACAAGCCATATCGATAATAATATCGGAAACGTGTGATGGCCTAACTAAAGGCCTCAAAGTATATGTTAAGGTAAGTTTGTTTCGCAACAAAGTACACATCGCACCGACAATGTTGCCTGAAATGAAAACAAAACAGAAACCTTTTGATCTTTACCGACTCGCGGCGAGAACGCCACAGAAACAAAACACGAATTGTTGACTGAATAAAATAGCGCGTCAAATATGAGACTGGTGCGAACAGTATCAAAATACCAAATGTGACACATTTGTTTCCTG